TGCCACCAGGGAGGCCCAACGCAATTTATTTAGCTAAGTATAATCCTTGAATACCTACCATCTGCCAGGCATGGTGGTACATCCAGATGATGATGTTTGGGTCCTCAAGCTCACTGAGGGCAAGCAGAGACCATGTTCAACCACAACGTAGATGTAATAATGGTGGAGTATGGAGGAGGAAAACTGGGGAGCAGGGGACCCAGCACCACTCCAGACCAATGAAGCTTGTCTGAGCAGATCCTTTACCAGCAGCGGGCCACCTGGGGCCCAACACTGTGTAGATCCCAGAGTTCCAGTCTCCTGCCCAGCAATGTTCTAAAAGTTTCCTGTAATATAATTAAGCAAAATTTAGCATCACATTTGCCATAAAATGTTGTTGAAATGCTACCTCAGTGCCTCAGCAAGTGGCCCTGCATGAAGTCTTACTTGGCATTTTTCTCTCTTTGAAGCAGGGAAGTGTTTTGTTCATTGGAAAATGGTGCTACCGAAGGTGATGGCAATTTCAGTTCAAGTCCACCATCCCGAATGAAGAGGTTTCAAGATTTTTATAGGAGTGGGTGCATGCTGGGGTTGAGGAAAGGAATACTACTGTTTTACAAAAGTGTGTAAATCCGTGAGGGGTTTAAGGAAAACAGACGTCTCTGTACCAGCCCAGGTCGTTATCTTGGTGGCTCCAGAGTCCTTCCATCTGGTCGGTCACTGCGACATTAGTTCTTGCATTACGGCCTCAAGAGCTGACACCTTCTGCTGGAAACAGATCGTGCAAGATAAGGTTTTACTTTCGGGGATCTGTTAGAGAGTGGCTAGGGTGCTCATACCAGGGCCTAGACCAATCACGCTGAAGACATGAATCACGTCTCTGCGGTGCCCATGTGCCCGTGCTGTGTCTGGACCTGGGGGGACTATATGTGGGAAATGTTTGTTTCCAGCTTGAATGGAAAATTGGAGTTCTGTCTGCATCTTCCTGTTAACTCTGTAAGTGTGTTAGACTCCTGGTACCTGTTGCTCTGGCTTTGGCTTCTTAACCTGAAGTCCCCTCTGTCTGTGGTCTCAAGGTGCCCAAGCCTTTGGGTGGCTGCCTCCATTACCCCCACCACATCTGTTTTTTTCTTTAATTTGCCTCTGCAACTAGCAGCTGCTTGCTTTCTGCTCCTTTGGCACCAAGGACAACCTGAGATCTTCCCTGGAAATGACATGGGTAACATCAAAGATGCAGGGATCCTTCTTGTTCAGGAGGAGGTTGAATAATTTGGAGATGACTTCTGGCTTTTGAGCTCTCACACCAAATATTTTGTGATCTATGCATTGTTTTCCCCTAGTAAATACCTAATTACTCTATTGTTAAACTCAAGGAATATTTATTCCATAGGGAGCTTGATCATTCATAATTCATTTTTTTTCATTTTACTAAGAGCAAAGCTAATAACTACAATGATAATTTATGTATTGGTTCTGCATTTTCAATGGTCCCTGAAGTTTGAGAACAAATAATAATTTGAATATCCTAAAAGCAAAATATTTAGAATGCCTTTTGTTATTTCCTTGTCTTTTCATCATCTTGTATCATAAAAGATTTGGGGTATCTTACAGGATTACTTTCAGGTTTCTTTTTTTTTTCTTAGTGGATAGTTGGGCAAAGGGAAAATAAATATAAGAAAAATAATATGAAGTCAGAGAGGATGATATCTACCAAGTCAGCAAGACCGCACCAACTCCAGCAATGTGCTGGCAAAAGAAATTGCTGGACCAGATCTCCAAAGGATCCCCATGTCTGTGAGATTAGGAGGAAGCCTCGGCCACAGGTCTGTCTTCATCCCCAAGTGAGGGCAGCCTCCTGTTCCCGCAATGGCTGGAGACAACCTATTACCAGCATAGATTGGAGGGCCTCCCCCAACAAAGGACTTTGAACTTGGGTCTCTCCAGTGACTTCTAAATCCAGCACCCACATTATTCTGAAGTTGTTATTTTTCTTTTGACTTTTCAAGAGCATCTTATCTGCAAATATTGGCATTGATGAAACTTTGTCCATTAAAGTTATATTTATGCACTTCAGAGAATTAAGGGTAAAAATATCACAATTTGATACCCTCTATTGGGAAGGAACCATCTACTGATGGAGTGGTTGATGAGGAAAGGGAGACAGGAGGAGGCCAAGGTTCCCTCCACCTCTCACCCACCCCCACCCACAGGAACAACCTCTGTGCAGAAGAGTCTTCTTTTCTGCAGTTCAAAGCCTAGGAATCTTGACTTCATAGCAAAGTCTCACTCATGTAAGTCTATGGAACATCTTTATTTACCTCCCTTTATTCATCTCACTGCAGAAGCAGTGTCTTTGATTGGGGCCTGTGCCCTGGACCTCATCAAAGTAGGTCTGCAGTATTGCACATATGAACCACGTTGCTCTGCAATATCTAAGAAATTCTGAAACCTATGTGGCCTTGGGGAATTTGAATCAAGGCTTGGGGCCTCTCCTCTTGAGTGTGGGATAGAACGGAGCCCCAGTGTGTTCACGACATCATAGTCCCAGTGTCAGAGCTCAGAGGAGGGGACACAGACAGGATCGTGGGGGATAAATATGCTGCAATTGCAGACGGACCTCAGCCAAGCCAGAGGCTGGCCCAGCAGCAGGAGCCCTGCCATTGAAGGTGCCCGGAGGAGCAGCACCCTGTCTCCCTGGTCAAGACCCCCAGCATGAAGCAGCAAAGTCATGCTCATTATGTCCAAAAGAATCCTCTCCCACCAAGTCATCATCTCGCCCTCATGTGTGCAGTTTAGGGGGCAGCAAGGAGCATGTTCACCCACAGGCAGTGCAGGTCGGGAGAGTCAAAGGTGAGGGGCGAAACCCTGGGATCTGGCATCAAATTCAGCTTTGTGGTCTGGGAAACAGGAATTCTGCACACTCATTCACTCACCAGTGCTTGCATGAGTACTAATACTCATCAGCGAGGATTTATTTCCCATCAAGTGCTAAGGAGCAGGGGCAGTGGAAGGAGCAAATGAGATCATGGTAGTAAAAACCTTTAAAAGCTGCAGAGCCCCCAAGCATTGTCTTTTACCTGTTACTCTGTATTCTGGGCATATGATAACCCACGGTGTTTGCCCCCTGTGACACCTGTTCAGTAGCTCTCTAGGCTCCAGCAGGAAGGCAGGGTGGGTCTTGTTAGGGTCCTGCTTTATAGATCTGAGCGAGGGATGCCCAGTGCAGAGCCCTGGTGTGTTTGCTGTGCAGGCGTGATCAAGCTTGCCATCTCCCACAGAGATGTTACTAATGTGTTCTTAGGGGCTGCTAAAAATGCAGCTCTTTCCAGGCTGGAAACTGCAAATGCATGACAAGGTGTGAAAACAAGGCCTGAGTAGCCAACGTGGGAGCAAATCTGCGGATGAGAACATGAGTTGGTGACTCTGAGATGGGCTATAAAATACCGACTTTGAGAAGAGCCAGCGCTGCCTCTGGCTCTCGGCTGGTCGCCTGGGAGAGTGTGGGTGTGCTAGTTACAACAGAACTTCCGCTTGGGTGGCCCTTCGCTTGTGCTGTTTTAAATGCTAGTGAGATGTTTCTTTACAAATATCAGGGTGGGCAAGTTGGTCCCGTCCAAGCAGTGAAAGTGCCTGGCAAGTACCCCGATCCAGAACTTGGAGATGGCCTGCGTTCCTCCTTCTTTGTGCTCAGGGCTGATCTGACGGGTGATGTAGGTGTAGGTCCAGACAGAGACCTTCCTTCTGCCCACATGCAGCACAGCCTCATCTATGACCTTTGGTCTGGAATGATGGGTCAGTGTAAGAAGCCAGTTTGTGTATTCGCAGATTGCTTTATTACTTTAAAATTGTAGCCGGGACAGCTTCCGTGTGGGCTGGTGCTGAAAATGGGAGAAACAGTAGCTATCAAATTAAAGAACTGCTTTTCTCTGCACTCACATTGGAGTCCTGAAAGAGCGCACTATTCCTAGCAGCCGGAGTGTGGGGGATTAGGGAGGGGTTCCACCAGCAAAGACGAAATCAGTCCTCAGGCAGCAGCTTTGGGTGTTCAGCAGCTTGGACTTCAGTCAGTAACAAAGGCAGATCTTCCAGGGAATCAGTTTTCTCCAGGTCAGCAAAGGATCACTTATACAGGTGCTGACTACCTTCCCCATGTGAGGAGAGGACACAATGCATCCTGGCCTGGGTGGGTGCCAAATGATTGTCTTCTGATTAGGGTTTTTTATTTTTTTTAAGATTTATTTATTTATGCATACAAGAACTGGGATATACAGGCCAGAGGTGTGTGTGGGGAGGGGGGGTGAGAGGATTCACCAGAGACAGAGTGGGAAGCAGAACAGGCCGATCTACTGAAATACACTGCTGAGGGGAGCAGCAGGCAAGTCAGGAGAGTCTGCTGCGCCATGTGGGTTGCTCCCTAGCCGGGGATCGAACTCGTGCTGCAGTGGCTGCGAACAACTTCATAGGTTGTGTCTTAACCCCTTGTGCTACCAGGGAGGCCCTTGTTTGTTTGTTTGAACTGCTTTTCTGCCAGCTAATATTTGTGGTTCCTTATTCACAATTCTCAGAATAGTTTCTGAAATACCCACTTCCAGGGGAACACCCTGTGCCCCTGAGCCAGGCACTGCTTGCCTGGCCTAAGGTATCAGTAGTGGAAGCAGCCGTCTCAGGGAGCCTGGCCAGTTGGGTCATGGGCCCAAGTCTCTTTCTGATTCCTCCCCCCTGGGCCCAGGCTTCCTTTTCCTTCACTGACTTTGTACTGTTGCCTGCATTTCTCCATAGGGGTGGGGTTTCTCTTCCGTGACATTCACTCCCTCTCCCTCCTCAGCTGTGATGGTGGGCAGAGCTGAGCCCTCTTGTCATTTGGCCTCTGCAAGAGCTCGGGCAGCCCTGAGCTGGCGCAAGTCCAGCCCCAGCCAGAGGGGACGGACCAGGTTCTTGGGGGGGCTCCCTGGAGGGTTGGCCACGGTATGGTTTGGACATCAAATGCCTAGCCCTGCATGAACGTCTCCATTCTTTTCTAGAAAAGAAGCCGAGGAAGGGCAGGCCTTTGGGGGACCGGCGGGAGCGGAGGAACGCCATCCGGCTCACCAGCGAGCACACGGTGGAGACCCTGGTGGTGGCCGACGCCGACATGGTGCAGTACCACGGAGCAGAGGCTGCCCAGAGGTTCATCCTCACAGTCATGAACATGGTGAGTCAGGCTCGGGGGTCCAGCGCCCCCTTGGGTGCGGGCAGGTGTATCTGTGCACAGCCCCACAGGCCGCGCACCTATCTTCTGTGTGTTCATCTTCTCTGTTAGGAAGAAGCTGGACTGAGGGTGCAGCTACACACCCAGCTCGTGACCCCGGGCAGCCTGGAGGATGGGACACCAGTGCATGTCCCCAGGGGAGAGGGCCCGCTCACTGACCCTGACCTGGGGGGTGTTGCAGTGCCCTGGGGGGTGTTGCAGTCTCCTCAATCACTGGGCCCTGTCTCACCCTGTGGGACTCATGCAGTGAGACCCACAGACTGTGCTCAACATACAAGCTGGGAGATTTATGAGCACGTGTCATGCCCTGCAGTGCAGATCCTGGGGATGCAGGTGACTGAGTGGGTCAGGGACACCTGTGCTGTGACACCACCACGTAGCAGGGACAGCATTAAGGAGCTGGACAGTTGGGGGTCAGTTTGGCCTTTGGGAGGCAGAGAAGGGCAATTCCTGCTGAGTGATGGGGAGGATGGGGACTCAGTGAGGTGCCCTAGCTGGCAACCCCACAGGCTTGTGAGCCAGGACCTGCGGTGTGAGTGGGCCCCACTACATTTGGACAGGAAGTTGCCATGGGGAGGTTAAGCAGAAGAGTGGCAAGCACTGATATATGTTTCGAAATATCCCTCTACCCAGCTCTTATCTGGGAGAAATGGAGTCCTATTCCAGGATGGTGTGTCCCCAGCCATCCACTCACCTATGGAGGTACAGGCAGAGGGAGACGCCTCTCCCAGGCTGGCCTCCGAGCTGGCAGGGAACCATGGAGGGGAGCCTCGGTCTGGGCCTCTGTCACTTTTCCAAAAGTGCTGTGGGCGCTTTTGATGTACATCATTTACATGATTTGATTTTCCTTTGATTGGGGGAGGGGGTGACACAGGAGCAGGGATATTTTAAAGAACAAATTGCAGGCGGAAACAGGTGGTGCTGACACTAGAAACCCTGGGTGTGGCAGCCAACTTGGAAAGCGGGGCCACTCGACAGAGCTTTGGTTGGTTGTTTTTAGCTTCCTTAACAACCATGCAGTGGAATGAAAACCTGAGACATTCCAGGCAAGTTCTGTTTGGAGGAAAAATGACATCAATTTGACTCAATTACCATGTGCAACAGACAACAAGCAGCTCTCTGGTGACCAGAGAAACCCACCGGCAGTGTTAGAGTGTTAGAGCGGGCATGGGTCACAAGCTGCCCCAGTAGTCCTGGAGGGGAGGCTGCAGGGGTTGGGGGTCAGCAGATGAGCTGACTTCCTAAGGAGCATTTCCAAGAAGCCCCCAGATGTTGGTGCCCCTGCCTTAGGCACCACACCCACCCCCCACCAGGCCCTGTGCCAGAAAGCATAGCACTCTCCTGCCTGGGGGGTCTTGTGGACTCCAGGAGAGGTTGGAGTGTCCACTGCTGTTTCCATCTGGCCCTGGGGAGTCCCGCTGGTAGGTGGTACCCTTGTGAAAGCCCTGCTTGGCATGGTGAACAGCTCCACTCCCGCACCCCCATCACCTGCTCCGTCTTGGTCCTGTCTGCCCCTCCCTGACAGTGTCCCCAAGTCTCCCAGCCAGGAGAGCGCAGTGTGCTGCTGGCAGCAGGCCCCCCAGGCTCAGCCCCCAGACTGCCAAGGAAATGTGACAAATGCAGCCAGGGCTCTGAACACTGGCCAGCACGCAGCCAGAGCTGGACGCCAGAGACAAAATTTCCAGACGATTGGCCACGCTGTTCCCTGCCCAACCAGGTGTCTCCGGAAACATCGCATGGCCTCTGCCTCCGAGCCTCGTCCTGAGTGTGAATTTCCATAGGGAAAAAGACAGGAGGATTTGCTGCATATCTTTGAGGCCTTCTGTGTTTGTTGTCTTTTGGGTCTGTCGTTGGAGCTCCGTCTGGCTGGCTGCTGACCGCATCTTGGGGGAGAGCCTGATGTCCTCCCTGTGCCACTCTCTAAGGTCTGGCTCAGGTCAGGTGACAAGGCACCCAGGCCCTCCCTGCAGGCTCATAGAGGACGTTCCTGAGAGCCTGAAGACTTTTTAAAATTAAAATGCACATAACATAAAATGGACCACCTTAACCATTTTTAAGTGCACAGTTCAGCATTGTCAAGTGCAGCCGCACCGTTGTGACCAGTGTTAGAACCTTGGCTTGTTCCAAAACGGAAACTCGACACATCTGACCGCAGCACCTGCCTGCCCCTCCCCTCAGGCCCTGGAGAACCCCTTGCTGGATCCTATATCTCTATGTGCATTTACTCCAAGGGGAGCGAGGATTGAGCTTTTGGGGTGATGGTGTCTGGAGAGCATAGAACTCTCATCGGCCCAACAAGGAAAAAGCGGGGGGACTTCACAGTGGGGTGGGGAGCAGGTTGTGCTGTAGTTTTGCCCTTCCTGAAACTTGCACCCTCCCATGCAGGTTCTCTGCATGGCTCTTGTGTGCTTGTCAGAACCACAAGAACTCTTGCCATGCTATTTCTCTCCACCTACAATATTCTTTGATGTTTTTGGCTAAGATTGCTTTGATGTGTTTGGCTAATGTGGATGCTACAGGGAGTGTTTACATTGTACCTTGACACCCTGTGCTCCGAATTCTGTTTTCCCCCTCATCATTTTAAGTTTTCATTCTCCCACATTTTCATGTTTTAAGTTGAGGTTTTCCAGTTTGGGTCCAATCCTAATGCTGAATATTTCTGGAAAATTTTGAATTGCAGCCATTGGGTGGTTCTCAAAATATCAAAACAAGGAAAAAGTTACGTGCTTTCTCCTTCTTCACCCAGGTTTGGGGATAGGTAATTAAGACATGACTTCAGAATTGGCCTGTGGATGGGCCAGCCTGAAAAAAAAATGACTGCGATTTTATTTTTGAGGAAAGCTTTGGGAGAAAAAAAGTGAGAACGGTACAAGCGAATGGATTCTATTTTTCCTTGTGGGAAAGAATAGTAAATTACACAAAGATTTAACCTCGGTAGTAGTTTTCGAAGACTAGACCCAAGCAGTTAATCCCCGTGTCACATATACTCAATCGTGTGTGTGTGTGACTGATGCTGTGTCCAGCCATCCGTGGCCTGGACAGCCACGCCGTGGCCGTTGCTTTATGTTCCTGATGTCCTGATGGCCACAGCCCCAACTGCACAGTTTTTCAAATCATTTATTATTGTTGTTATTTTTTTCTTACATTGTTGTTCATTTTTGTACATTATTTGGTTTCTCCCCTCAGGTGTAATCCCCATAATTCTCCCACCACCACGGCGGCTGTGGCCATCACCATGGTCCCTCGTGCTGTTCCCTCCCCTGTGTTGACCCCTCTCCCTCCCTGCTTATATGCCTCAGATCTATGGTTTGCCTGCAAGTTTGGTCTTTTTCCTGATCCTTTGTTGAATTTCCCTAAATTCCCCCTGTAAGTGAGACCATCCGATGTTTTTCCTTTTCCTTACTGACTTACTTCTCTTAGCATAAGCCCTTCCAGCTCCATCCATGTTGCTGCAAATGGCATGAGTTTATCTGACAACTGGGCAAAGTTTCAATGTCCTTGCTGAACAGATTTTTCCTCTAGGTTATGTCTATCAGAACAGTGCTAGTAGGGTGAAACTAACACTAAACTAATACTAGTATATTAGCAGTAATATACTAAAGCTAATTAGATGTCAATTATATGTCATTAAAACTGGGAAACTGGGCCTCCCCTGGTGGCGCAGGCCCTTGAGTGCCACGCTGTGAAGCTGTCCACAGCCTCTGCAGCGCCAGTTCGATCCCGGCCAGCCAGCGAGGGTCCCACATGGCACGGCAGACCGCTCCTGTCTTGCCCTCTGCTCCCCTCAGCAGTATGTTTCAGTCAGTCTGCTTGTTCTGTTCCCCTCTCTGTCTCTGGTGAATCCTCTCGCCCTCCTGTGCATCTGGCCTATACCCCGGTTCTTGTAAAAATAAATAAATAAATATTAAAAAAAAAAACCTGGAAAACTAAATCAGGATATAATGAAACAAATGTATTTGTTTAATTACAAAAAAAATTTCAAACGATCCTCCCCCCTGTCCTGTCTTACACCATCACCTCATCACCTTCCCATTTACCTGCCCCTGCATCCTGCTCTCTCCACGTTATAGGAAGGAACTCAGGGAGTGTTGGGGTGACTTGGGGATCTTAACCAATAGACTTTCCTGTGCATATTTGATTCTTCTGCCTTGTTTGAGGTTTCCTATCTTTCTTCCTCTTGAAACACGTTCCTTTAATTTCTTGATGTTGAGGTTCTCATAATTAAGTTCTGCCAAAAGGTGCCAAACTGGGAGGGGACATAGCCATTTCTGTTATGGTAACTTTATCTCAGTGACAAACTTTGACTGGAACGAGGCTGCTGGGGACACCGGAGGAAGGTGGCTTTTGGGCTGGCATGGCTGGTTTTGAGTTGGGCTCACTGTTGATTGGCTGTGGGCCTTGGCCAGGCAGCTGGACCTTGAGAGGAAGGTGGTGCATGTAGACCAGGCTGATGGGTTGTGATGAAGGTTAGAACGTGTGCACAGAGCAGCTGGCCACAGGGGTTGACTGCCCCGCCCCTTCTGAAGGTCCCCTTCAGCCGTCCACATGAAAGCCCAGGGCGGGAGTTTTGCCTTTTCTGCATAATCATCTAATATCACGTCCTTTTTTTATTTGAAACTCACTATCCTTGACACTTTTTTAAATATTTATTTTATTTATTTGTGCATACAAGAGCTGGGGTATAGGCCAAAAGTGTGGGGGTTGAAAGGATTCACCAGAAACAGAGTGGGGAGCAGAACAGGCAGACTGACTGAAATACACTGCTGAGGGGAGCAGCGGGCGAGTCAGGAGAGGTCTGCTGTGCCATGTAGGTCGCTCCCTGGGTGGGGATGGAACTCATGCTACAGCGGCTGTGGATAGCTTTGTAGTGCTGAGACTTAACCCCTTGTGTCACCCGGGAAGCCTCTTGACATTTTTTTTTTAAAACAACTATTTTCCAGTTTAGCTGTGTGTGTCAGTGTGTGTGTGAGAGAGAGAGAGAGAAAGACTCCAGACTCCTATCATACACATGTGCTTTGGAAGGAATTCACATATACAGGCATGTTTTTTTGTTTGAGAAACCTTTTAAATAAAATCTGGTGTCTATTTCTCACATAAATGGATTCCCTAAGGATTTACCTCTGAACATTGAAATTTGAATTTCATACAATTCTTCCTGAATCTAGTTCTGTACTGTTCTTTAGTACTAATGTATAAAAAACAGAATTTAAATTTTATTTAGAAATATATATATATTATTCATGTTTTAGATTTCTAGAAAACACAGAAACAGCACAGAGTTGTCCCATGCACTGTCCCTGTTGCTAGCACCTTACATGAGTGATACGTTTGTCATGAATGATGGCCCCACCTTGATATGCTTTTGATGCCCAAAGCATATTCAGATTTCCTTTGCTTTTAGTAATATCTTTTCTCTCTTCCAGAAGCCCATTCAGGATACCGCTAAGTTATTGAAAGTGGTTTTATATTTACGTCTTGATTTCTCTTCTCTCTCGTAATAGGTATACAATATGTTTCAGCACCAGAGCCTTGGAATAAAAGTCAACATCCAGGTGACCAAGCTGGTCCTGCTTCGGCGACGGCCTGTAAGTCCCATCAGCGCCTTCAGAGCGGGTGTGTGTGACATCCTGGGTGTGCTGGGTGCCGAGGGGTGCAGGGACCTGCCTAATCAGCCCTCCCTGGCTTTCAGGCAGCAGCCGCATGCCCTGGGCCAGGGGACGGGATGTCAAGGGGAGAGGAGGGCAACTCCCACTCCCAAAGGTTTGGCGGGCACACAGTCTGCTCGGAACCTGGAGGGGACCCCAAGCTGTCACCACCGCACATCCCTTCTTTACCCCAGCAGGCTCGGGTGTGCATAGGCTTGATGGTGGAACACAGCCAGCCTTCTGGAAATACCCCCAGTTTCTGCCCTCTGTGGGATTAACTATGGCATTTTTTCTGGTCTTTTGAGCAAATGGACTCCCCATTGTGATAATTTTACCCGAGTCAAGAAATTCAGAATCAAACCATGAGTGTGAGAATGAGGGACTGATGCTTGTCTTGAGTATACTGTTTGTTTTGCTAAATAGAACATTAAAAACAAAAACAAAACAAAAAACCTGATCTTGACTTGAACTTTGAAATGGTCCCTCTGATGGCTTCTCTCTGGGTGTCTTCACCTGCCTATGTCAGGTTTGTGTTTTGGGGATGCTCATCATGGAAGGACACCACAGTAAGTCACTGTCCCCCTTAAATGAACATCTACTCTTTAGTCTGAGCATAAACTGTGTCTTCCAAGGGGCTCTTTTTCTCTAACTGTCCCTCAATTTCTTTAAGGCCAAGTTGTCCATCGGGCACCATGGCGAGCGCTCCCTGGAGAGCTTCTGTCACTGGCAGAATGAGGAATATGGGGGTGCACGGTACCTGGGCAACAATCAGGTTCCAGGAGGGAAGGACGATACACCCCCAGTGGATGCTGCTGTGTTCGTGACCAGGTAAAGTGCATTTGTCTGTAGCTGACAGCGTGAGCAGGAAGAGACCTTTCCTTCCGAAGGGGAATGGAAACAATCTTTAGGAAATTGGGTTTAGAAATCTGACCTTGGACTTCCTGGTTTGGAACCTCATCTTGCTCTTCAGTAAAATGGGATAAATGACAGCACCTCTTAGAAGTGGGAGGATGAACTGCATGGACAGCTCTTCCCACAATGCCAGGTCACACTCAGCCTCAGTTGCTATCAAGTACTAAAGTCCTAGGTATCCCAGGGCCTAAAACTTCCCTCTCCTGTGGGAGGGAGCCCACGAGGGGACCTGTATGCCACTCGCAACTGCATGGAGCACCCTGCATGGGGCCCTCTCGGGACAACAGCAGTGGGCAGACACCCTGAAATTCACATGGGCGCCCCCGAGGAAGCAAGGAGCTAAGCTTTTTCATAGGCTACAGACATGTACTCAGTCTTCCAGAGGAAGCCAGGAACCTGGCAGTGGGCAGCCTCCCATGCAGGCTGCAGCGAACTGTTGTCGTGTCTCATCAGAGACATGGTTGCTCTCAGTTTTGGAGACCGGAAGCCTGAAATCAAGGAGTCAGCAGAGCCAGGCTCTCTCTGAAGGCTACTAGCCCCTGGTGGTCGCCATAAACCCCTTGTGTCCCTTGTCTTGTAATTACATCACTCCAGATGTCACTGTGATCAGATGTCCTTCTCAGAAGGACGCCAATCCATAGAAGGCCCAGCTGCATCCAGTGTGACCTCTCCTGAACTTGGTTACCTTTTCAGGAAGGCCCTTTCCAGATAAGATCACATTCACACATACCAGGATTAGGACTCAGGCATATGTTTTTGAGGGATACACAGTTGACCCTTGAGCCAGGCAGATTTGAGCTGTGCAGGTACACCTGTGTGCAGATTTTCTTGTAAACAGGTGCTGTTAATACAGGGTAACCATACAAACAGTCCAGGGCTATAAGTGCGTCTTCTCTTCTTTGTGATTTTCTTAATAATTTTTTTTTTCCTCTAGCTGACTATTGTAAGAACAGTATTAATAAATGTAACATACCAAATATACCAAATGGATGTTCATCGATGGTTTATGTCATTGGTTTATGTCATAAGGCTTTCAGTCGATAGCAGGCTATTAGTTGTTTTTTTGGGGGGGTGTCAAGAATGTTACATATGGACCTCCCTGGTGGCGCATGCGATTAAGCGCAGCGCTGTGATGCTGTCCACATGCTGCCTCTGCAGCACAGGTTCGATCCTGGCCAGCCAGTGAGATACCCACATGGTGCAGCAGACCTCTCCTGTCTTGCCCACTGCTCCTCTCAACAGTGTATTTCATTCAGTCTGCCTGTTCTGTTTCCCGCTCTGTCTCTGGTGAGCGGGGACACTCTGTCTCACCCTCCCGCACATCTGGCCTGTACCCCGGTTCTTGTATGCATCAATAAAATAAATAAATCTTTAAAAAGAAAAGAATGTTACATGGATTTTTAAAAAATATTTATTCATACATACAAGAACCGGGGTACAGGCCAGAGTTGCAGGGGGTGAGAGGATTCACCAGAGACAGAGTGTGAAACAGAAGAGGCAGACCGACAGAAACACACTGCTGAGGGGAGCAGCAGGCAGCAGGTGAGACAGGAGAGGTCTGCCGTGCCATGTGGGCATCTCGCTGGCCAGCCGGGATCGAACCTGCTCTGCAGAGGCTGCAGACAACCTCAGCACTGCACTCAACTGCCTGCGCCACCAGGGAGGTCCTGGATTTTTGACTAGGTGGGGGAAGCGTTGCCCTTCTAACTCTGTTGTTCAAAGGTCAACAGTAGACTTGACTATTTCACTTCAGGGTTCTCTGAGGACAACTGATTTTTTTTGGTTGCATTATTTCAATAATGTAAATAAAATGTGTTCCATGTCCCCATCAGAATCTTCCTTTAGAAAATATTTCTTGATAATTTAATCCATTATATTGATAATACCAAATTTTATTAGGGTTGCTATAAGTATAGCAACTTTGAATTTTAGGGATTTTTTTTTTTTAACTTCAGGAAATCACTTTCCAAACTACATGCTTTCTTTTTCTCTGAGTTTAGAAGTAAAGTTGTAGAAGAGAGAACTTCAGGTTAAAGACAGCCTGTTCCTCTTAATAGGGTTATTTCCAACTTAAGACTTTGATTTTGTGTCAAGAAAGTGGCTCTTTGGTTGCATACAAGCCCCTAGTCTGCTGACTTCCCAGGCAGATGGTAAAATCTGTGACCATAAGCCCAGGCAATAGGCAGTACAGTATCCTAACCTGTCCCCTTAAAACGCCAGGAATGCACATTGCCACCACCAGACACCAAGCACACCCAGTCATTCTTGCATACGATCCGTCTACCAGCTTTCAAATGTTCTACCTTATGAGAACATTTGCTGCTTTGACAGGGTGGGTTTAAATATATAAGGGGACATTTAAGGAGTCTGTTCAGTAATTCCGATTACCTATAATACACAGATGCATTACAAGATACCAAGGGCAAGGGGTGACCACGACCTGGTTCTTCCTTTGGATCTGGGTTTGCCCCCTTCGTCAGTGCTGGATACCCTCTCCCCAGCAGTAGGGGGCTGGAAAGCACATTCACTGGGCAGAGGCTGCTGTGGCTCCAAGTACTTTGAAATGGCTTTTGGAGCCTGGCGGGGCCTCCTCTATACAGTATCCTGAGGATTGTGATGTTGGGGTTATAGGTAGTGCCCTTTGGGATTGGATTAGCCTGGAAGAGAAAGCAGGAGCCTTTGGGAACCATGTTTGTATATGACTATCAACAAATGGGATTGATTCTCCAAAGGATAATTAAATGAGGGCTAAAGACCTTTTCTGGATTGGAGCGCTGAAGTACATATTTGGAATAAGCAGCAAAGCCTCCAAGGTCACTACCTTGAAAGTGGTTTGTATAAGTACTGTATAAAAAGTTTTGTTAAGAATAACCTGTGGGAATTTTTCCTATATTGTTTATTTGCATTCCTGCTGTTTCCTTTTTTGGGTGGAAAGTGCTTGCAAGTGGTCTTGGTTTGGGAACAAATAGCTCTTTATTTTCTAGTGGCAATAAATGTTACCTAAATTAGTGTTGACACAGCTTCAGGATTAGCACTTTCACAAAACGTCCATCAGCAGACATGAGCACACCCTCCGCTCAAAGTGTTACCTGTTCCACATGTTTGTTCCTCTCTCTTAACACTGTACTTACCACACTAGTAATACTTTGCACAAAAATGTTCTTTCTTATGTCTCACATCCATTAAGATGGCTCCATGTGGGTTTGGCATGAGTATGCCATAGGAGCCAAATTACCTGGCAAGAAGATTCACATGTTGGCTGACCTTTTCATACCAGGCCTCCAATGAGCTTGGCGCTCTGCAAGCTGACCACACCTCCTCCCTTTTCTTCAGGAGACACGATGATGATCCACAGAGGCCATCATTTGAGACCACATGTTTGCCTTCAGGGAGGCCATGAGATGAGAGAACTCAAAGAATCCCCTTTCAGTCAACAGAGTTGACTATTTCAAAATGGCACCTGGTTCCACCTGTGAGCAGGCACTGTCCACCATGTTTATTCATTTCTGTCCAGTTCTCTTCTGTCAGACTAATGACCACAGGCGCTTTCTCCCTTTATGCAGGTGAAGTCATGGGTCTAAGCTTTGAACACATTCAACTATTCACTCTGGATAACCCCAGAGCATGGTCTTAGGAAAGCCTGGTCTTTGCATCAGTTTATATGTGTGTGTAACTTCTAAAACGTGTGACTGAAAAGCATGTCAGATCAAGAATGTTGAGATGGGTTAGACAGATAACCCAATAGCATACTTGTGTCCTTTGTTTGTTTGGTTTCCACTCAAACCAAACTTTTTCCTTGCCACCTTCTGCTGTTGATTAGTCTTCTGAAAGGTCATGTTTGACAGAGAAATCAAGTCACGAGATTTCCCTTTTCAGCTCTTTATTCCCTCCGCTTTGATGGAGATTGCTTTAGTTTTGGACTTGGGTATGAAAAGTTGGGGTGGGGGGAGGTGCATTGTAGATGTCTTGAAGACTTTTTCTTTGTTAAAATTGTCTTAAAATCAGTGCCTAAATACATTTGTGATGAAAAAAATAGAAAACATGAAGTAAGTAAAACCCATGTGACCTTCAAGCAGGGTTGGCCCAAGCTCCTCCTCAGTCTCTGTCAAATATGGGATCCTGGCCATCTACTCTCCCCTTTTCTCAGGGCTCACAGGATGCCCAGGGCAGCTCCTGCCTGAGGCACTGGGTCTGGATGAGGGACTTCTGCACATTTGAGCGGATCCTTTTAAACCTGCAGATCTGGAATCTGTGGGTCTGAATGAGCAGGTAGAATTTTGGACAACCCTCAGGTGAGCCTGAGGCAAAGCCAGGGTTAGGAACATACAGGATTTGTTCCAAAGTCCATGCAGTGCTGAGAAGCATCAGACGTGGATCATGTTTGGAATCAAATAGGAAAGAATGTGCTGTAGATTGGAGTGGGGCTGAAGTGGAGGGAGAAGGAAGGGAACTGGAAGCTGTTGGCTTAGGGGAGCCACACATTGCCTTCTCTGTCATTTGTGTGGTGTGAACAGCAGGTCAAATTTTTCCCTGAAAATAGATTTTGACAGACGATAGGGGAGGAATTGAGGACACTGGACTCTGGTGGGGGATAGAGCATCAAATGGGCCAACCAAGACCTGCTCTTTCCTTCACCACTTTCTTAGTGCCAACTTTGGCCCATTCTTCTTTGCCAGGTTTTATAAAAAAAAGTAAAATGAGATAAAGTAGCATCAAAGCACACCTGTTAATCTGAAGTCATGCTTGTGTGTGTGTTCAGAGACCTGCAGGGGAGCGGGAAATGAGCGTGGAGTCCTAGTGGGCCACGGCTGGGGCCTAGTCACTGCTGTCTTCACCCAGCTCCCATGCAAGACACTGCCCCAACCAGCTCTTTGGTCAGTTCCTGACCATGAAGGCATCCTGGGACTGTTCTGGTTTTGGAAAGGAAGGAACTAGACCCCTCCTTTCTCCATGAGAGGCCAGAGTGACCTCCTTGGAGCTGCCGGACCAGGGCTGGGCCGGATTTCCAGCATCTCCATTGTCTTATCCATCTACCGCAGCATACTTGGGAATCCTTGGGGACTTGAAAGGACAGAAATTTTAGTACTGACTATGCTGTCTTCTCCTATAGGTGATCCATGGTCATTCCCCCATGGTCATCGCTGCCTGAGTAGAATAACTTGGGGAAGTCACTACAGCATGGCAATATCAACAAGGCATTTTCTCTAGTGCATGACCAGCCAAGTGTCTTCTTTCAAAATTTTCTCAGCTGTTGGAAGGAGTCCTTCTATCCACTGAGTGTTAGCATGGAGTAGTGTAGCCATGCAGAGGGCCTTCTGTGTGGTAACTGGGACTGCCAGTTGGAAGTGTGGTGCGTGGGTTACTCTGGGCCAGTGCTGCTAGCTGCTGTCCTAGCAACTCAAGTGACGACATTGCTCTGGGAGGATGGCTGACGAGATCCATCATTGTTTTTTTTCTTCTACTCTTTAGGGGTGCTGCAAACACCTGACTATGTCATTTTTATTTTTTAGGACAGATTTCTGCGTACACAAGGATGAACCGTGCGACACCGTTGGTAAGTTCAGAGTAAGACTAACAATCTGAGGAGCTGATGTATCACCATGTGCCTGGTGGTAACCGGGAGATTTCTTGGTAACATTTCCAGGCTGGAGGAGCTGCTCACAAGCAAGCTCTGCATTTTCTGTTGCCTCTTTTTCTTGTGAATTGGTTCTTTGACATGATTTAACTTCCTTTTTTGTTTTCCTGGGAACTTTTGAAGTTGCTCATGGCAGAAGGTATCTAGAGAAAGGTTAATAAGTACGTGAAAAATTAAACCAAGAGGGGAGCCACCAGGTTGCCCCAAGGGGACAGTGGGGGTGCTGAGCCCCTTGGTCCCCATCACAAGAGGGGGCCACATGCGTGACAGTGTTGTCACGAGACAGGAGCTTATTGGGTTATTTTTCCCCACAACGGTCCTCACCAAGTGTCCTAGAGGTGACGTGGGATGACACTCTCTGAGTGTGGTCTCCTCCACCGGCCTGGCCACCAGGCTCTGTGCTTTCTGGTTAATGCATTTATTTAATCAGCAGTACTAGTACCAACAAACAGTGCCCCAAAGCAGATTTCCTTCTTGCTCTTCCCCACTTTCCCCTCAGTGGCCATTTCCTTTCCCTCCTGCCCCCAGTTTTCTCTCCTATCTCCAGTTATATCTGACTTGCACTTGACTTCTCCCAGCTTTCACCTGGAACCCTTGTACTCATCCCCCTAACATCCTCCAGCAGTAACATCCTCTGTGCCTCCAGTGTATTTCCAAGGCCGGGAAGTGGAGTGGCACACGGTAACCAGCCAACTCCAGGTCCTACTCAGGTTTCACTGGCTTTTCGTGCATTCTTTTTGGGGGGTGTTTTTACATCAGTGCTATGACATTTTATCGCAGGTGTAGATTTTTCCAACCATCATGACTCGCAGGAACAGAACGGGTCTGGACCCGCCGAACACCTCCCTCCACTGCCCATGGAGGGCCCCCCGTCCCTACTCGTTCCCTCACCCCTGGGCAACAGTTTATTTTTGTGTATTATTTTGATTCCACAGAATGGAAAAATAAGTCATGGCGCACACACTTATCAATGCTAAGAGATTTTAAACAGCTGCTTTCAAATCTCAGGGTCCAGTTCTTGCAAGAGGGGGCTGCACCCTGAGTTCTCCAAAAACATAACTATAGTTGTCCTGTGGTATCTTGGGGGATTGGTTTCAGGACATCTCTCCTCCTTCAGGCCACTCCAGGATTCCACAGTATCTGCAGAGGCTCAGCAGCCCTGTATAGTCAGCCCTTGGTCTCCCTGGTTCCATATCCTCAGCTTCAGCTGCCACCTGAAATTGGTCAAATCTGTGGATGTGGAACCTGAGGATATAGAAGAAAAACTATATTTTAAAAACTACACATGTAAGTGGACCCTTGCAGTGCAAGCCCATGCCAGCTTCCTCCTCTGAGTGAATAAGCCCTGAGGTGTGAGTCCCCTTACCTGGGAAACCTGCCTCACATGGCTTCAGGCCCAGACTTATCCAAACACCGCACCAAGGGCCTGCCTGAGGATCAGCTTATGAAGGAGTCGACCTAACCTTCAGTAGCCTATCAGTTGTCTCGAGCCAGACAAACCTGAGGTCTTGAGAAAATTCATCCGTTTGTCAGAAGTTCTATTGGTTTTTATAACTGTGTTTTTGACCAAGTTCTTTGATTTTTGAGAGGTTTTGTGAAAGGCTTCAATTTAAGGGATCAAATATGCGTCTAGCAGGCAGGAGTCAGATTGTCTGGGTAAATACCTTCCTCATCACATGATAAAATAGGCCACGCAGTCGAAAGAGTCAGGAAACTCACATCTCTCAGCGGCAGGGCCTTGCTTCCCACACATTCAGCTTGGATTTCTTGGCTCATGGAATTGATGGGAAAACTAAAAGATAAATATTTCAGTAAACTAGTTTCTTCTCTCGCCCCCGCCACTTTAAATGTAGGTGGAGAGTATTTTTTCAAAAAAGGCAACTAAGTTGTATCTGGATGTTGGAGAGAATCTTCTGAAAGACCATTATGGGAGCTGTGTTGTTTGCAGAGATCCAAAGAGAGCAAAACTGGGGTCACCTGGGGAGGTTCCATTATCTTGGTCCTATGTCTTAAAGATAATGACCAGGGTGAATAAAAATGTATATGTGTGTGTGCACGCACCTGGGTACACACACACACCTCCGTACACATGCACACCTCAGTGCATGCACACACATGGAAACATGTAGCACGTATGCAGCCTGGGAGGGACGAGGCTGTGAGAGCTGGGCACATGGAAGACATGGGAGGGCGTCTTTGTGATCTTCAGGCACGCCCTTCCATTGTTGTAATTATTTAGGGCGAAGGAGAAAAATGAGGCACAAAGATTGCTGCTCCTTGAGAACAGCTCCTGGCTCTTATGGCCACCAAGATGTGTGTGGTCAGCAGCTTCCAGGCCTCGATCAAGGGCCTCGAGCCAGTCCTGGGCTCAGGGTGGAGCCTGGCCCCTCCTTGTGTCTCCCAGGCAACTGATTCAAAGGGACGAGTACAGTTCCAACTGGACCACCCACCCTGGCATCTTCTGACTCCAGCGTGAGTGGAACAGATTCTCCATGACCCTGGGGGCTGAGAGCTTTGGCCTTGGGTGTGCTGACTTTGCTGTGATTGAGAGGGAGACAGGCAGCCAATAACAGCTTTAGCCTGGAGACCACCTCCTCCTTCACTGGCTAGGGCTGGGGCAATCCTCAAGTGGGGCACACTTGTCTGATTTCATTGTCAAGTTGATGACATTCAGGTGACGTGTTGTCCACTCTCCTCCTGGCCACACCAGCCCTGTTCTCTCCCAGTGCCCTGGCCCTTGCTCGCATAGCACTAGGCAGGTCAAGGAACCTGACAACCCAGTAGATGTCCTCATGTGGACAGCTTGTCAACCTCTGCAGTTCTAGAACCTTCCTCTCTGCAGTGCTGGAGAGTCTTTCACACTCATTTCCTAGAAGAGTAGCCTCTTCTTGCTCTCACAGCCCTTCCATAAGGGTCAAGGGCACAGTCTCCATCATCTCTGACTGGTATAACAACATAACCCTAACTGGGAAGGTTACACAGACATTTATTTCTCACCTTTCTGGAGGCTGAGAAGGCCCAGATCATGGTTCTGACCTCCTCAGCACCAGGCAAGGTGTCTCCTACTACAGAATGTCCTCACGTGCTGAGGGAAAGCTCTGGTTATTCTACTGAGCACAATAATCCCGGTCAGGGGGCTCTACCCTCATGACCTCATCCACATCTGCTTGCCTCCCAAAGGCCCACTTCCCAACGCCATGCTGTGGAGGTCAGCACCTCAGCACGTGAGCGTGGGGGGACACAGACGTGCAGACCACAGCAGGTGTCGGCCCTGCAGCATCCCGAGAGCCTGGGCGTCATGCCAGGATCCAGCCCTTCTGTGAACTCAGTCTTGGAAAGTTTAACAGCCCTTCGCAGCACCCCTGCCCCCGTCTCTTTTTGACAGATGGGGAAAGCCCGACCTTCGGTGCCGCTCCCGTCCGCCTTCGTGGGTGGTGCCTGAACGGAACCCCGCGCAGCTGCCATGTGTTAGGAGCTTCTGTGGCAGACACTTCATGTTTTTAATTCATTTAATCCTCACACCCCTAGAAGTGCTGCCACAGCCTGCATGCTCCTTGATGGACAGCTGTATTACAGAGAAGGGGGTTCCTGACCTATTGGAAGGCAGGGGTTTGGGGTGGGAGATGACTTGCTCCAAACTGCCTGGTTTGTAAGTGGTGGAACCAGGCTTTGACCCCCACTAATTCCACTTCAATCTCTTTTTTTAAATATTTATTTATGCATAAAAGAGCTGGGGTACAGGCCAGAGGTATGAGGGGTGAGAGGCTTCACCAGAGACAGCAGGGAACAGAACAGGCAGACTGACTGAAATACACTGCTGAGGGGAGCAGAGTGCAGACAGGAGAGGTCTGCTGCACTATGTGGGTTGCTCCCTGGCCGGGGATTGAACTCATGCTGCAGAGGCTGCAGACAGCTGCACAGTGCTGTGCTTGACCCCTTACGCCACCAGAGAGGCCCCCCAACTTCGATCTCTAGAACCTTCTAAGTGCAATACTTCTTGTTGTTAGTGGGTATGGGGAAACTTAGACCCCCTAAAGCTATATATTTCTTGTCTGAAAGATAACCATCAATGACTGGCCTCTGGAAGCACACTGGCTTGCTATGAAGCCTGAGGGTTTAAGTCCTGGCACATCTGTGCCACTCACCTTTCTCTTCCTGCAAGTACTAACTTGCCCATCATTATTTTGACCCAGAATTTTCATCTTTGTCTTCATCAACTGTACCATTTTCAGGCTATTTTCTCATGGACATTTTCTTTTCCATCATTCCCATGCAGTAAATGTTGGTTGAGTACCTACTGTGTGCAGGTGCTGCTCCAGCACTGGGGACATGAGACCCAGAGGTCAATGTCTTCCTAAGGCTGGTATTTCATAGGCAGGAATGGTTGCGTACAGTGAGCAAGTAAACACCAAGGTGTGGGCCGAGGTAGGTGGTTGCAGCGACAGGAAGACACAGAGCAGGGTATCTACAATCTGAGCAGATGGGGCAAAGGAGGAGTGAGTCCTGGAGCCCTTGGTGGCTTTTTTCAGGCTTTATTGAGATTACCCAGTACATGGCAGGCTGGGAGCCTGGCAGGCCTCCTAACCCCCAGCAAATCTTCACTCTTCCTGGGCTCTCTGTGTTCGCTCATGGCCTTGACTCCTCTGCTCCTTTCACTCTCCCCTCCTGCTCTTCTCTTCTGCTGGTGTCCCTGTGATGCCGCCCTTATAAGCCCAGTCTCTCAGCGCAGGTGTACCCACCTGCATATGCCCACACCCTGCTCCAGGAGCCCGCCATCAGGCATGCATTCAGGACCACAGGCCTCCATCAATCCTAATGGTGGGAGGGCAGAAAAGCCTGATACCTTTTATTTACCCTATAGTGGTTGTAGTAGAAGGTGGGCCAGGGAGCGGGGGGGTGGGGGGGCAGGAGGCAACTGG